AAAACAGAAACGTATAAATATACCTTATATAGGTATGGCCCTACAATATATCATTTAAATATAGCATGATAGGTCCACTTTAAGTAACAGACTTAAAGGTGGGGTAGGTAATTCACTTCAGAAACACTTTTTGTTATATTCCATGGAATGCTCTTAAAGCTCCCATGTCATGCTTTTCCGGTTATTACCCGTCCCCTTGTGTGTTATGAAGGTTTTTATGCATGTAAACGGTGTGCAGAGTCAAAACCCTCAAAGTACACCCTGTAGCGAGTAAAACTCTAACACAGAAAATACCTCCCCAAAACGCCTCGTTGGAGATACGTCACTGCCCATTTGAGTCTTCCATTTAGTTCCGGGTACCGCCTGATGTCATGCGGTACCCGGAACGAAATGGACCAATCCCGAAGAGCTATGGCCACACCAGCAGCGGCGTGTTCCTCCTCCAGAGGTTCGAAGAACCGGCATTTCACAGACGAAAGCTTCCAAAACATTGCCCAGTTTGAGGCCGGATATGCACAGCTTGTTTGGACCGTTTGGAGCAGGGGAAGATCTGGGTATACAACCTGTAAGTTTGCATTGTTATTTGTGTATTTATCAAACAAGACTGTTTAAATGTGTAAACTGTGTTGGACTGCTAAGCCATTGACACAGTGCTAACTGTGCTAACTAAGTTGCTAGAGTTTCCATATATCAACTCTAATATCAGCAGATGGCCTTGCATACATGTATCTCATAGCAGGAGAATGTCTGCATTCACACACACGGAATACTCATACAGTATACTGTACTGTGATTTACCGTACATTGTGACCGTACATATACTGCATGTAGCTAACGAGGCTAGCTGTATGCTAGCGCAAAACAATGTATTCATGCAAGTTACATTGTATGGTAGCAGAATACCCGTATACGATTGCAATTATAAACACGTTATTGCTAGCCTAATATGAACCACTAGCTTTTGTTCATAGTAGTTTTATTACACTGCATTATAGTTGCCTTTCCTCCAAGCTAACGTTCATATCGTGTTAGCTACCAAGGTAAACAAAGCTAGGTTAGCATATTAGCAGGCAAGCTGTTCATTACACAACTACTACTAACGAATCTAAAACAACTAAGTTTCTCTAATATTTTGTGATTTGCATTTGATTTCGTCCAGCCAGATCCTGGCGGACAATCCATGACGTGCTAAAAGGCACTTCTACTACTACTGAGGCGTCGTGCTAAAAGGCACCGCACCGGCTGTGCGCAGGCAAGATGCGAGGAGGAGGAATGAATGATATACCGTGTATATATGTATATTTATGTTCATTTTGTACATTTCTAAAAATAAAGTTTAATGGAAATACTTAGTAGGCCTATCCTTTCTTCCCTGAATTCATATATAGCAAACCATGATTTGATTTCTCATCAAACAGTAGTAGTTTATAACGGGTAAAAATAACTTACTCTTTGTTATGAGCGGCTCGTAGGCCACAAAGACAAGGAGACATACACGAGTTTACAAAACCACGGCACATTTATTGTGGTAAATGCAGAGATAGGTGGTTGAGAGGATCGCAGAGTTAGTCTTCCTGCAGCCGCTTTGGAGAGAGACTGGGGCCGTAGTGTCCGGAGGTGTCCGTGATCGTGCTGATTAGCCTCTTCAGCTCCACCCCATCGTAAGACAAAGGCCCTGGGGCCGTCACACTCTTCTATAACAACAGTTAAAAATATATATGTATATAAAATATACGGCTGTGCCGACGCCATGATAAGACTGATGTTCCGCTGAGAGCAGCCGGGAAAAGCACTGTTAGACATGGGCGCAGCCTCTCTGGTGGTTGACTAATCAGAACGAGTGGCCGAGCTGACCAATCGGAGCACACTAGGCTCACAGGGAGGGGGGGGCAAGAGCTCCAACGAGTCGTTTAGTGGAGAAAGTGAATACTGCTGAATACACATGCTTGACAGAGATGCTGTATGCGAAACCAATGTGAGTTTGGAAAATTGCACAGTATAAATCTATTTTAGTATACCTCAACAATGTAATTATGATCAGTGGAAATGGCCATGACATGGGCCCTTTAACATCCCGATAGCAATGAATATATTAAATGCTTTGACAATAAATACATAAACAATTGCCATCTGTGGAAGCCGTGGTGCTGTAAAAAGCACGACCAATCATCTGAGCCGGCCCGGCTAAAATAACTGGATGGCCTACCTGCCTGTCAGCCTTCCATCTCGTGCACAAACTTATCTCGTGCCCTCATTGGTCATGTGCGCGTTGGTGTGTGTTGGAGGAGGGGCTCTGTAAGGAAGTCTGAAGGAAGGGGCAGATTTTTTTGGGCGACGTACTTTCAAATTCCAGCGCACTCGAGGTGGTTTCTCCATTCTTACCTACCCCACCTTTAAGGCAACACGAACCAAACATGACTTTGAGTGAATCCTAAAGAAACTGCAGCCTTTGAGCACATTCTGGTGGGTGTAGTTTGCCCCCTGTGAAGTATTACAGTAATATAAAATAAAACAGAGCCTCTTCATTACATTCCTGTCATGTCATTATCTGAAACGACCCTCAGAAATCCTCCTGCACCTGCCTCATCATCGCCGACTCATCTCACTTTCCCCCTTGCTCGTCTTCCTCCTCCTCTACCTCATATCTCAACTCGACCTTATTTCATCCCTCTCCCCACCACCTTCCTTCGTTCCTGTCTGACTCTTGTCTCACCTCTTCTTCCCGTCTATCCATCCAGCCATCTATCTTACCCTCCTCCACTCCTGCGGTGTCACTTTGAAAAACTTCCATCTGCTCATTCCATCTCCTCCCTCTGCAGATTGATCTTTAGTCGGCTCACAATCTAATTTGTGGAGCAGTGCAGAGACCGGGAGCCATGAAACTGGTGCTAAGAATTACTATTATTAATATATCGACATATTTGATATGACACTCAATCAGAATGCTGTTGAATAATGATGCCATCGGATATGACTTCAAAAAAACTTCATTCTAAAAAGAAAACTACTAACTCCAATTCAGATGTGTTATAAATGCAATCCAAATTAAGTAAATTAATATAGATTAAAACTAGCTAATAACTGATAGCAAGATTTTACACATCTACGAATAGCTGGTGCAATCCAGATCAGATATATATATATCTCTATAATTCACAAAATATCCAGTCCATTACAGCTTTTTTGGTCATTTAAAGCGATCCCTCTTTTTTATGAGCTGCATAAAAGAAGCCAGGGAATTTGGAGTAAGTGATGTTGGTAATGAGAGGCGATAATAAGTACAGAAATATCTAATTTGGTACGTGTACTCTCCCAGAAGCTCCCTAATTAGGACAAATCTCCCTCTTCATGCACACTCACACACACACACACACACACACACACACACACACACACACACACACACACACACACACACCACACACACACACACACACACACACACACATTAAAGGCCATTTCTGTATTCTAAGCAGACACACTGAGTGATTGGATTTCTGCGGCATCAGATTGACTTGACCTCACAGGGACAGATGTTAGGATCTAGACAGGTTACATATTGATGTACATAAGGGCACAAATGTGTGTGTGTGTGCATGTGTGTGTGTTTACAGATTGCATTGAGGATGTGAAGGGTCAGGATCTGGGTCACAGAAGTGTCTCTTTGATGAGATCCCAGGGTCTCAGTGCTTACTGCTGTACTGTGAATGCTTTAAACACACCTTCGAGCACTTCGCATGCTAATGCTGTTCCTCTTCACACAGTAGTCACTTCAGCTGCATCACTTTCCTGAGTCTGAGCTGAAGAGGCTGTAAAATAAGTGTGAAATCTGAAGGACGTGAAGAAGTGTGTCTGAGAGGTTCAGGGAGGCTGAAAGGCTGTTATCCTTGGTTTGTCTGCCTATTCAATCAATGAGAAAACAAAAGCTAAGAACAGTAAATAAGCGCCACTAAATGGTTGAAAAGATAAATAGTTTAGCGAAAGGAAATTTGCTATCAAAAGAAAACCTTGAGATCTTCTGCCGCACCATTATTATTTTCATCTTTAGTTTGAGAGAGATATTGCTCTTCTTTCAATTGATTGTCTTTTTTTTCTGCACCAGTATTTAATCCTTTAAAATTAGGTTTTCAGAGACAAGCGGGAAAGTAGAGTGAAATGGTGGAGAGGAATAGTTTGAATCAATGCGTCTGAACAATTTAAAGAAGAGTGTGGGAAAAGTGTGTGGTCGATTTGATACTGGAGGGCGCCACTAGCTCTACAAATGGCATTTCATGCAGATTGCACTCACTAACTTAGTCACTGTTCAGGACAATACGACTTCACATAATAGCATCATCTAAATGGCTTCATCGTGATTGGTACGCCTGACCAAATGAGGAATAGGGGGACAGTAGCGATGCTGCATATTGCACTGTTTTCTTTGTATTGCTTTAAGATGACAGCAGAGGTTTAAAATAGAAAGCGTCCTCCCAGGTCAGATCCACTGAGGAAGGGCAGAGTGACATAACATGCCCCGTCTCTAGAGGCTTCAGCAGCAAGCACATGATGAAACTCAGAGAAGAGGCAGTACACTGACAGAGGTTACCAAAGATGCTTTTATCTTAGTCTAATCTGTATTTTTAGGAAAGGAAAAAAGAAGCCATCGTGCTGAGCCAGCTGTCCTTCCTCACTGAACCACTCAGCCGATATTAAATTCAGACGCGATGACTTCATCCTCCAGCACTTAGCCACTCAGCACTTATTGCATCATCAGACTTGGACAAAGGCCCAGTGATGTCATCTCTCAGGATGCTGAGGTCAGGACACCAATTCATAATCAGAGCTATGATCATATTAAAACAGGATTTTACCTTAGAACAACCTTATGAGTGATTTCTGGGAAATGTAGTTGTTGGATGGATGTGACGTTATGTTAAAGAAATCTGAGCCTGGCTATTACATGAACCCTTAAAGAGATAACAAGTGTCTATTTGCAACAAACACACACTCATACACCCACGTGCTTGTGAAATAAATACTTCAAAGTCTTTATTTTTCAGAACTTGCCATATTTTATAGTAAGGTACATACATTTGCATTTCAGCTGTCTTTGTGCTCACAGTAAGGGGGACACAACACCTACAGTAAACATTATGTGGCTTACATCTCTGTAGAGCGTACACACACACACACACACACACACACACACACACACACACACACACACACACACACACACACACGCGCACACACACACACACACACACACACACACACACACACACACACAGCCAACTGTCCCCAGTGCACTCAGTCTGTTCTAGTCTTTTCTCGAACCACCTAATTTAGGCTGTCTTGTCCTCAATAAGTAATCATATATGAAATACCACTTATACTTACAAAACATGTCCAACAAATCAACCATAAGAGTACAAAACAAGAACATAAATAAAAACAATCTACATCTTTATGAAGAAAACATTGTCGTTATAAAATAAACTTTTAATAATCCACATTTTTTACAGCGTTGTCAGATGTGGTTCATTCTGGTTTTCATACAATGAACTAGGTTACTATTTATAAGAGGAATAGCCAAAGAAAGAAAGAAGAAGAACAAGAAGAAAAGAAGAAGAAGAAGAGATAAAGAAGAAGAGCAATTGCAACATTTAAGACATTCTGCACTGCACACTGTTACCTTGACAATTGATTGTTGCCATGGAGATAATGTTGCATGTTACCAGGTGATTTTCCGTGACAGTCTTTGGGTTCGTTTAGAGCTACGGGGTTCCCTTTGTCATGCCCCGCCCTCCCCGCCGAACCCCGATAACTTCAAAGATAAGTGAATGATTGATTGAATGATGACATCACTTCAAATGACCCCCTACCACCCCAACAACAGCAAAGCCCCTCCCCTTGTTTCCCACCCGCCCTCACTGAAAGTCCAATGTGTTTCATCCTCAATCCATCCCTTTCGTGGTTGGACCAGATCAGATACCTTTTCTAATCCTCCGACAAACCGTGCCATTTGGCGATCTGGCGGCGCGGGTGGTCGCAGATCTCCCTCCAGTGCTCGCCAGACGTGCCTGCCACCGATGTGCCCAGCACCACCCGCCCCAGGACGGTGTTGGGGGAGCGGGAGGTGCCCATGTCTGAGTCCATCAGCAGCAGCTCCACGCTGGTGTCCCTCAGACCCTCTTCGGAGGGCAGATCAAAGACAAAGAGCTCGTTGAAGACCGGGTTGGGGGAGCACTTCTTCACGTGGGTCTTCTTCTTACACACGCGCTTCTTGCCCTGGTACATGTTCACCTTGACGTACGGATCTAGAGAAGGAGAATGATCAAAGTAAGGTCAAAAGCAACAAAAAAAGGCTTGGTGACTATCCCTGCAGCGGTTGCAGAGTGGCATATTATTCCTGAGCCCGATCAATACGGCGATCGATGGAGCGGAAATGATGGATGTTGGTGATGAGGACAAAAGAGGCTGGCTGTGTAAACACTCGGTGTGTGTGTGTGTGTGTGCTTGTCACTAAAGTGCTCTCTATCACATCCTGATCAGATTACTTCAGTGCGGTGGCGGTGTCATAATGGAAACTCTCACTGCATCCAAAGTAGTCTGGGCTGCTTGGCAGGAAGAGGAAAGTGATTTCATTTGATCATGGTTATGTGAAGGAGGTTGAAGCACACATGCATTTTGTGGATCGCATTTTATACGTTTCTCTACATGTGTTTGTACCTGTAGGTCCATTGTTTTCAGTCTTGGGCAGGTGGCGAGCCTTGAGGACGACCACGGTCAGCGTGTTGGTGGTGGACTGGTAGCACAGGGAGAGAAGCAGCTCCCCTCGACCTGAGGACTTCTGTGGAGAGACAGGGGGGGGGGGGGGTTAATAAATGGCATCACCCTGTATGTACATCTTTCTTTCCTTCAAGTTTAACAAGGGACAAATATCAGAAGATTGCATACTAGTAACAGATTATATGATGTACCTATTAGCAAATCTATGTAATAATCCTAAAAATATGTTACTTGTCAAATAATTAGCTAATATCAACAATGACGTGGTGAAACCATCCGCTGAAAATGGTGTCAGTGCCCCCAGATTAAATGTCTGTCGACTAAATAACAACACCTGCATCGAGTGTGTTCTCATGTCACAACTTGCAAAGATGTGTGACTGAGAAGCTCCCTGTTCTCCCTGCCCTACACTTGTGATACACACACACACACACACACACACACACACACACACACACACACACACACACACACACACACACACACACACACACACACACACACACACACACACACACACACACACACGCACACACACACACACACACTGTGTCTGTGTCCACTCCCAGGGGGGTTGGCGCCTCGGATGCTGTGCTCACACCTAACGCAATGTCACGCCTCGGCTCATGGTTCCCATGGCAATGAGATGTAGTACGCAGATAAAAGACAACTTCCACCACTAACATGATGTTTAAGTCTCTGAAAGTGTGTCGCAGATTTCTTTTTATTCAGTTCCTCTAGGGACATTGTAGATTTATTAGACGAGAAAAAAATATATAAACTGTATTCTATTATTTTTATTATTCTCTATGGGGACAAAAGGGCGATGGCTACACTGCTTAAGACGTGCTGTATCGATTCTCTGTAATTCTCTTCACACACACACACACACACACACACACACACACACACACACACACACACACACACACACACACACACACACACACACACACACACACACACACACACACACACACACACACACACACACACACAAAGCAGCACTAATGCAAAATCTATGCCACGCAGACAAAGAGCCACCACCCTGTTAGGGCTGCTTCTAATCAGAGAGAGCAAAGTAGACGGCTCTTACTGAGAGAATTCAGCCAAAAGATGTCACCATGGACATATCTAATACTGGATGCAATATTTTTGAACTATTCTGTGTTATTCTTAGTTTTTTGGGCACTCAAAATGTTGTAGCTATTTATAATGCACTAAACAAAGTTCCAGTATGCTGTCTTTATATAAAGAAACACTTACATTCCAGCTGAAAAACAGTAAACAACTACGGTTGAAGAGACCAAGCCTTTTTTCTCTTTTCACTTAATATTTAATAAAACATCCAGAAGAGGACTGCAAAACATATGCTGAATTTTCTTTGGATTGCACTAAAAAGCGTTCAGGCACAGCAGACCCCTCCCTGCAGCAGAGCTTTGTTAGACACGTCTCTCCTGGGACCCAAATGAGAAATGGAAGTGAAAAAGAAATGCGCCTCAGCTTGGAGAGAGCCAGCAGAACATACAGTAGTTTAAGAAATATAATCCACTTGATGATGAAATTGCAGATGGGAGCTCTGCTGAGGGGGGATGAGAGGGGTTTTATATTTCTCAGAATCTGAATTCCCAGCACTTCTCTGGATCGCTACATCATTTCAGAGATCTTTGAATATATTACAGATAGTAGTGAACATATCCTCTCCCAGCTGGTAGTGCTTCCATTAAAGCAGAGCCCACAGTTCTATAATTACATTGATATCATCTCACATTCCACCTGTAAATGGACGAATCATGTACAGCCAAACCATCTGCTAATACATAGAGGGCTGCTGTATCCTGCGCCACAGACAGATAGGACAGAGATATCATCTAACAGCAGTTTGCCTGAATGTAATGCAGCCAACCCTGCTGTTATTATCCAAGTTTAGTCTGATGCATTCCTGGGAAATATACATTTGTTTCTTTCTGTCGTCACAACACCACAACAAATGGTTGTGATACCACATGACATTTTTCTAAAAGTACAAGGTTTCACTGGAAATTAGCGAAAGTGCATTTGTGGTCCTCACAGCTGCCAGGAACAGCCCATATGCAGCAGCAAGTATATTGACCACCAACCCCTAGATCCATAATGGTGTGGTGTAGATATCACTCCATCTATCCAGCACACCAATGGGAATGTAAAAATGTCATTTAAGAAGAACAACAGACCTCAGCATCAGCTTTCAAATCCATGATGGTGGAACAGATCTCATCTCCTCATCACATGGGATGCATTTTCTATCCCCATTTTGCCTTATTCAACATCAACAGTTAACTTAACTCGTGACTGATACAATGTGAGTGAACTGCTTCAATGCATTTGCAAAATTCACTAATAATCAATGTGCAGATTATGCCATTAGAGCTAAATTAAAGCTTGAAAGGAGTATGAAACAATTCACCCGGGTTCGTGATTAACATATCATTATATTGAAATGGCTAATTGGATTTGATGACGATTATGGAACTGATTTATGTACTGATTAATATTGGCAATTTGGAAGCACTTTTGCTATTAAGGTAAATTATGAGTCACTGTTGGAGAAGTTTTTCAATTTGTTATATAACATAAATATGCTGCATGTGTAAAAATAATTGAAGACACCATTGTTTGAGATTTTACCTTGACATTTTTCTTGATGATCTCCCGGCTCATCAGCACGCGCCCCTCGGATAAGTCGATCCCAGACAAGGGTACGAGGGTCTCTCCGATGACCTCATCACGGGAGAACCTGTCGAAACTCAGCACCATGAAGTGGAGGGACAACTCCGACACTCGGGCCAGCGGGATCCCGTAGAAGCTGAAGGTCTCGTCAAAGGCGGGGTCCAGCGTCTTCCTCAGGACCCTGGTCTTCACACGGTGCTTCTTCTCCGGCAGCAGGGTCAGCTTGATGTAAGGGTCAGAGGTCAGGGACTGCTCATCAGTCGGGGTCAGGCCATGGGCTTCCTGCAGTAATAAAGTCATCAATCAGTCAATGAAACTATATTGATCAGAAAATGATACACACAGCTAATCAGAAAGACACACAGTACCTTGATATGGACGATGAAGGCCTTTTTCTCCGGCTGGTATTCCAGGGAGAAGTGGAGGGTCCCCAGCCCAGCATCCCTCTCCTCTCCATGGGGCTTGTCTACAGCCGGGGTGGGTGCCTGACTGGAGAGGGTGCTGGATGGTGAGGGGATGTCACGGTGGTCCGTCACCCCAGGTTGTGTGAATCCAGCAAGGGGAGAAGGCAGCTCAAGGTCCGGGGAGCTGCGCACCTTCTGGTGGTGGTGATGAAATGGTTTGGTGGTGAAGTTTCCATTCAGATCCCGTTTCTCCAGATCCAGATGCAGTTCCGGTTTGGATCCGTTTGGACTTGAGGCCAGTTTACCGGTGGTGGTCGGATTCAATGTGGTGGCAGTGTGGCAGTTCCCGTTAACATCAGTTTTACTGGAGTCGTTACTCGAGGTGGTGGCAGCCGCAGCAAACTTCTTCTTACCGCTGAGGCTCTCCGGGTAGATGTCGACCCCTTTGAGCATGTGCACAAACTTATAGGGAGGTGTCTTCTGGGATTTGGTGTTTTTACGCTGGCAACAGATCCATGCAAAGGCTGACACAGTGAAGACAAGGCCGAAGACACTCACCACAGCAACACCTACTGGCACTGCCACTGTGGAGGAGGACAGAGAGAGCCGAGGGAGGGAAGGAGAAAACATTGTATTGGTTAGAAATGTCTATCCACACACTGTGAAGCAACTACATGTAAAACAACGGTTCACCTCAACAGATTTTATTGTTGCACTGAGGCAACTGGTTCCATTTTGTGACTGACGCAGACTGCAGATTTGAGTCAGATGGAGATGAAAACAACGCAGTCTGTTGGTGATTGTTCATATTCCATACATGGCTACAGTACATCAACAGGAAACAGCTGGTGTATATCTACTAAGAAACCTAACGACATGTCAAATGGTTGAACACAGAAAGTAACAAGACCTCGGCAACAGCACAAATGGAGAAAAGATTCTCAAATATCATTGTATAATTATTATGATAAGTCAGTCAATTTTGTTGACTGACAATGACAATTCAAAAGGAAGACATCTGGAACATTCTGTCCGATATAGAGAACAAATACAGGCTTATGTGTTACAGCAAATCTAATTTTTACATTATATTTGTTTTGGGCAAAGCATCATGGATCACCCTGATCCCATTTGCAAGTATTGTATAACAGCACAGACATTTGTAATAGGCCCTGTGTTATATTTTTTTATATTTCTAATAGCAGCAGAGGATCATTTTATTTAACTCACGGCCACATCCCCTTCAACAGTAGTGCTACTTTAAGGTCAGAATTCATTTCAATGGTACTTTTGTCTGCTTTACTGTCACTAAGACGTTACTATGGAGACATTTTACTGGGATATTTGCCACTCAATGCTTCTGTCTTTTGTATGGTGGTGTTGAACTGTGACTCAACAGCAATCATGCTGCCTTCTCATGCAGTCAGTTAATAGGTCAATTTCAATAGAGGAAAAGTGCAGCATTTCCTGCAGTCAAGAGGGCGGCCAGTGGAAAAGCACCCATTCAAAGAGACACAGAGAGAGGGTGGGGAAATCACACATGTACTTGTGACTTTTTTGAATGATATGCACTGTAGTTAACTCGCATTACATTAGATGTGTTGTTAATTCTGACACTGAAATTGTCATGCTAAAAATAAAAAAAGTATGTGTTTTTGTACAGGAATTACAGGTAAACATTGACAGATCAGAACAGTTTCACTTCCTTGCTGCCATTTCTGATCATATAGACCTGTAAGTAATTCATGTCTGTTGTATTATTGTAAGGAAATGATGCCTTTATTTAAAGGTAAATGATCCTGGTAGTTGCAGGCATAGCATCCATCTAGTGGATTACTAATCTAAAAAGGGAGGGATAGTCATGTCAGAACACAGCATTTGTTTTCTCCCTGTCATTAATATTTCACCCCAACATCCTGGGTGGAGTTGTTTTCAGGGCAACAACAACAGACAGATGGATGGAGCCACGGGAGGGAGCAGCTGAACCGAGGGGAAATAGACTGTGCCTGTGCTGTAGTAACACCATTTTCTAATATTAATATCATAAAACATGTCACCCACACCCTGTGGGCTGTTTCTCCTGATAATTAGCTGTCGCCTTTTAAGCTAGCTGCAAAATGGAGGCTGTTCATACAGTACAGTAAACACGTAGTTTCATCGAGTTTGACAACACACTGGATGAAACCACTTAACTAAAACTTGACCAAATTAAATACATTTTACTCTAAAATACCTGTATTGTTGTTGTTTTTTAAATAAAGAATGGAAAGAATATTACAAAATATCGCGATAATAAGGCTAGTTACCTTTGAGTCACGCGGAATGAATAACTCGCGCTTTATGAAGATTCAGAAGCACGAGGCTACCATTAGCACCCTCACCAATCACACCTGCGTCATTTGAGGTTAATAAAGTGACTCACCGAGCTGAGCCCCTTCCTCCACCATTGGAGCCATGTTCTCTGTCCGAGGTGCTGAAGCTCTCCGCCCGCTTTCTTCTCTCCCGGTGACACCGTGCAGTATATCTCCACAAGGACTCGGCTTTGATTGTGTTTAAAAATGCAGGAGGTCTTGTACGGCGTTAATTATTTAAGAAACGGCAGTGGTTGTTTTTTTCCCAGAGAGAAGGATGGAGTGTTGTGTTCGTCGCCCTGCTGCTGCTGTTACTCAGAGATGCGCGAGTCTCAGAGGCGGCAACACCCCGTTTCTCTCCCTCTCTCTCTCCCTCCCTATCTCCCCCCTCCCCGTCGATAACGCTGAGCTCACCGGTGCTGACGCAGTAGTGACGGAGGCTGTGAAAGCAGGACCCCCGGAGTAGCAGCACCACCCTCTATGCCAATTCCCCTGATTGATTGTTAGGAAGTGAACGGTCCAAGTCTGTATCTCCTCCGTGTGTGTGTGTGTGTGTGTGTGTGTGTGTGTGTGTGTGTGTGTGTGTGTGTGTGTGTGTGTGTGTGTGTGTGTGTGTGTGTGTGTGTGTTACATCTATTGAAGTAAGTGGTAATTTGGCTGATTTCTATGCACTGATGTTTTCCCTCTGATGTAGATTGATAGTAATTACAGTAACAGGTTTACTATTACCACTTAAGTTAATAATCTTCAGTGATATTAACGTGACTGTTATTTTATATTGATTGTTGTGCTTTTATTTCTTTCTTAATGTGTGCTGTTGATTGTGTGTATATAGGTATATACATACATATTTTTATATATTTGTAATTTTGTGTTCGGGATTGTGGGAAACGGTATTTCGATCTCTCTGTCTGTACACACAAACTGAAAGATTGACAATAAAGTTGACTTTTGATTTTGACTTCAGTGTTTATGATTAACTATATACTGTTTATAGTAAAATGTCTTATTTACTTTTTTGAAATGCTGCAAATAAACAGTAGCTAATCAGACTCAAAGGTCAATAAGGTAAAACCCTCTGCTGTATGCAAACTGGATGTTAATCAGTATACGTATATAACTCGTAATATATGATTTAAATTCAATGGGTCTAACTGTGATGTAAAAGGACAACTTTGTGGATAGGCTGGTCCTCGGCCACCTTCGGCTCCTTGTGAGACCATCGATGGACCCGCTGCGCCTGCAGCCTGACATCGGGGTGGATGACGCCGTCATCTACCTGCTGCAGAGGTGACGTCCCTCTCCCACCTGGAAAAGGCTGGGGACATCGTGAGGATCATGTTCTGGGATTTCTCCAGTGCCCTCAACACCATCCAGACCCCCAGCTGCAGCACTCCTCCTCCTGGATCCTGGACTACCTCACCAACCGTCCACAGTATGAGAGGACCAGGGACTGCCATTCAGACACCATCATCAGCAGTACTGGGACCCCCCAGGGGACAACAGGGAGTACAGGGAACTGACGCAGGACTTCACCCTCTGGTGCCAGAGGAACCACCTCCAGCTCAACGCAGGGAAGACCAAGGAGCTGGTGGTGGACTTCAGACGGCGCCAACACAACGCACTGTTGTGATACCGCAGGTCCTTCCTTCCTGCAGCGGTCAGGCTGTACCACCACCACGGCCCCTGGTAGACCCCCACACACATACTGTATCACAAAGACTATACTGATGTGCAATATTTATATAAACCGTTAAGATCTGTGCAATTTACTCTACCACCTTTTGTACCTTCACCTGGCTGCTCTATCGCTAAACTGTTATTGATACAGGGACAATTGTAATTTCCCCCTCTGTGGGACGAACAAAGGCATTCTGATTCTGATACATAATTGGGAAAAGACACCATACACAAGTCAAAGTGCTCTGCAGATGCCTTTTCACAGAAGTCATGCTGAGTTGTTACAGGGGGAAACTAAGGTGTGAATATAACAGAGACATCCTTAGTGTATTACATAGTGTTATAATACCTGTGTTTTCAAACTGTGTCAAGTGAAAATGTGTGCTGTGAGAAAGGCCTCAAGTCAACAGCTTTAACATCTGATATAATCAAATACTGACCCCTGGTGTTCATAGCAAAGAATGCATTTCCCCTGAATGCAACAAAGGCCAACACAGAGATGGTCACTCAACACATATTGACTCTAAAACACCATGCTTCTACATCAAGCATTGTTTTTATAATCATTTGTCCTAAGACCTAATCCAAACAAATTGTTCTACAGGGCCATTCAACCTGTCAAGTCAGAGTCATATTTGTCCTACGTTCAATGTTGTTGAACAAAACAGTTCTTGTTTGTATGACCTCTTTGTGTATAGGTTTGTATCTACACTAATAGATGTTGGCCTTTTCCTGAGAAGTGAAACCGTCACATTATTTCTGTGAAAGTAAAACCTAAAAGAGTGTGTCAGATAAAGGAATAATATGCCTAAAATGTCATTACATTGTCAATCATAACACACTCCTGCAGATACAGACGCCATGGGGGAGTGACAGTAAGGCAATTTAAGTGGTTAAGTTACTGTAATAGAACTGACAACATCTCATGAAGTGAAAATAAAGAGGTTCTTCTGAGAAAGATCAACTTTCGAAACTTTAGAAAATATTGTGTAACATCCTTTATTTTCAGCTGGTGTTGTTAGTTGTTTGCAAGACACAAATTAAAAGTTTTTTAAAAGACTTTAAAATAATTTCGTGTCCTTCCCTGTATCACAAATGTGTTCAACTGTCGGCCTATCAGAATAAATCAGCAGAACAAAATAACTTCATTCAAGGCCTCTATTATTTCAGTCTTATGTTTGTACTTCAACCAACAGGTACATCTACATATGTTGTACTGGTTTGTCTTTTATGAGTTGTGTTTTGTTTCTCTGAGTTACAATACCTTCACTAATGGATGTCGGTTTGTTCCTGTGAAATGGATCTGTCAAATACTATTTCATTGAAAGGCAAACTTAAGAGAGGCCTGACGTAGAAGAGATACTAAGGAATGAAGACAAACAAAACAAATGACTTATAGCTAACCTTCATTACTGACACAGTTGAAGTGAACACGGGGCGAGGTCACAGGAGGGAATATAAAACATTTTTTGTGAGGCACATTTCATTTTCCTTCATTCATCATCGCTGCAGCAGCTCAACTTTCAGGTCAGTTTAGACATGTTTACGCACTATAATAACAATTTTTTAAAGATTTTTTATTTCCCATTGACCCTTCATTATTTTAGTGACAGCAGCGATGGAAGCAGCAGTTTTGTCTAGAAGCAGAGCGGGGGGGCTGTTCTTCCTCTTCACTCTGCTGGGTCTGGTTTGCATCACGACTTCACTGATGGATGACAACACACTGGTAAATAACTATTTCACATTTTATTTGAGTTGTTCCTGTCATGCTTGTACAATCTGTTTCCGTATGTAACTGCATGTTGATGCTTATTCTAATGATGGATTTCAAGGAGAAGTACAAGAGAGAGGTACAGGAACTGGAACAAAAACGGGAGAAAAGGAAGGTGAGTTTTTATGTCGCTCACATACATTCTTAATACTCTGACAGGAGGAGAGAAAGCGATTTAATGAACTACAGTGGAAACAACATAGCTAATAGAGTCAGTGCCATGTCATGAAATGTGTGTTTTCTTTCCCATATTAGGCAAGATGGGACGCCATTTTAGAGCCTAAGAATACAAAAGTGCCCAGCTCTTTCTCGTTCTTGATAGGATTGGTGGAGGTATTTCTGCCGATCGTTGATGTCGAGACACTTAAAGGTGGGGTAGGTAATTTTGGAGAAACCAGCTCGAGTGCGCTAGAATTTGAAAATACACAGCCGGAAAAAATCTGCCACTTCCTTACAGAGCCCCTCCTCCAACACACACAAATGCGCACCTGACCAATGAGGGCACGAGATAAGTTTGTGCGCAGATGGAAGGCTGACAGGCAGGTAGGCCATCCAGTTATTTTAGCCGGGCCGCTAAAATGATTGGTCGTGCTTTTTACAGTACTACGGCTTCCACAGATGATATCTTTTTATGGATTTTTTGTCAAAGCATTTAAGATATTCATTGCTATCGGGATGTTAAGAGCATTCCATGGAATATAACAAAAAGTGTATCTCGAGCCGGTTTCTCAAACTTACCTACCCCACCTTTAATGTTGTCATACAAAATCAAATGTGGAAATTAGATCCAGAAATTCAGAAAGTTGAACAGGATCTGAGCAAAATGAAGAAATTAGTCAAAGCCCTGGAGATGTACAAAGCTGCTAGGCAACATTAGAAGATACATGAAGACTTTTAGAATTTTGAACATAATCTGATAGAAGAGGAGAATATAGAGAGAGCCCTGGAGGAGTACCAAACTGAGCTATAAAGTAATGTCAATCAGTGCCTCCATCCGATACTTCATCTATTGTGTTGGCTAAGTTTCTCGTTGGAATCACATTCAAATACAATTATTTAAAAAACAGACGTATTCACAGCCTCGCTCTCAACCTTCATTCTCAATTTCAGTGCAGCTGTCTGAGGAGCTTTTGTGGGGATTGGCAGAGCGTTTAAAACTAAATTAGGAAGGTATTTGTGAGGGGACACGCAAGATGACACATCATTAACTTACTTACATTTCATGGTGGATAACCCAACTATGTTTCCTCTAGTCTGTATTTCTGACCCATGATGATTATTTTTCCAGGTTAAAATGGTGTCATGTAAACATTGGATTTTAAAATATATAGGAAGTTAACAACTGGAATAATTTCAACATATGAAAAGGTGTGCAATGTGATGCTTAGCAAACTCTTAAAATATCAGGTCCAGACTGATGATGAAGATGTTTTCTGTAGCATTGGTTAAATATATTTGTTTAACCTTAACCAATGCTGGTTGGAATTTTAATATTCTAAGACTTTCTGCACGCATCTCTCTCAAATAGATTTAGAAAAAATACTGGAACGCATTTTAAACAACAAAGTATTGAAGGGAAAATGAAGTGGAAGATATAATAATAAAAATAATAATACATTTTATTTATAAAGGCACCTTTCAAGGCTCTCAAGGTCGCCGTACAAGGTACACAAAAAAAAACAAAAGTCCCAAAAACCCGACAATATAATCAATCAATAAAAACAGAAAAGCAGAGGACATGTGATGTGATCAGTGATATGCTCAAAAATGTCATCAAAGTTTAAATTGTAAATGTTTTTGATTGTAGTTTTTTAAAAGCATTGAGGCAAGATCAATTCAGACATTACTTTAATGTCCACGTTTGCTTCTTGAGTGATAAATGGATTGCATTTATTATTTTCTTAGTGAACATTCAAAGCACTTCACAACACAAGAAGCCATACACTGTTTCAAACACATGCACACACCTGTGGCAGAGGCAACCACACAAGGTGCAACCTGCTCATCAGGAGAAATTAACTGTACACACCGATCAGGGGATTTGCCTGAGAAAACTTCAACACGTATTATTCCTGTGAAAGTAAAACTAAAACAGAGTGTCATGTGGAAACAAAGGACTTTCTGCCCTGCATGTCATCACATTCTCATAGACAAGTATAAAGCTGGTGTGTTCCTGTAAAGAGAAACTCCATAATACTATTTATATGAAAGGGAAACTTAAGGGACAGCATGACGTAGTAGAAACACCAAGGAGTGCATGCAAATAAACACCAACTAACCAATAGCCAATCTGCATCAAGGCACACGGGGCGAGGTCACAGGAAGGAGAGTATACCACATTTTGAGGTGAGGCATCAAATCATTCCCTTCATCCATCACCGGTACAGACGCTCTCCTTTCACTCACATCACAGGTGAGATCAGAAACCTTCACTCACTATTAGATCAAATGTATAGACCTCTAAATATTTGAACATTTCTTCGAGTCTCCATTGACTCTAATGATTTGAATCACAGCAGCGATGGCAGCAGCAGTTTCATCCAGAAGCAGAGGAGCAGCGGGGGGGCTGTTCTTCCTCTTCACTCTGCTGGGTCTGGTTTGCACCGCAGCTTCACTGATGGATGAGAACCAACTGGTAAATAAATAGTGACTCAACTTCTAATTGTTATTGGAAACATCCGCATTTTCTTTCAGTTGCTCTTAAAACATGTTGTAATTCTGCCGGTTCATGCACCAAGGTGCAGCTAAGAGCTACTTTTATGTTCCCAAATGTAAATGGTCATTTTCATGATGGATTTTTTCTTTAGAAATATCTCAAGGAAACAGTTCAGGAAGTAGAACAAGACCTGGACAAATTGAAGGTGAGTCCATGGGTCACATCAATTATTTGGAGGAACTGACGGGCTGAGAGAAGTTGGCCTTGTTCAGAAGGGACTTTATGCACTACAGTGCACACAACACAGCAAATAGATTCACTGCCATCTCATGAAGTCTGTTTTTTCCCACATTAGGCAGACAGGGACACCGACTCAGAGTTCAGTAATGGATTCATGAGCCTCCTTGACCCAACGATGGCGTTTGTGAGGAAAGCTGCGGAAGGATCACCTGAATTATCTGCATTCACGGAGGAATATCTAAAGAGCACTAAGGGCTTCATGGAGAATGTTAAGTCTCTCATGGATGGGGATAATGAGGAGCTAGATGCAAGGATTTTGAAATTGCAACAGCGTCTGAGAGCAAGCAAGAAAAAAGTCCAAGCCCTGGAGGAGTACCATGCTGAATTGTAACCTCCATATCAACCAGTGCCTCCATGATACTGCACCTATTGTATCTGGGAGGTTTCTATTTCTTACTGAGCTGCTCCATCTTTACATTACAATGCACTGGCTTAGAAATCATGAATTTCTGTAATTTAAAATAGGTTATCGATAATAGGTGTGTTGACCTGCAACTGTAAATGAATACATGTGCTGTTCAAATGTACTATATTCAATGTTGTTGCTCAACATAATAAAAACAATGTTTGTATAACATGTCTTTGTACAGTGTTTCTGTCCTGAGGAGTTATTCCTTGTATTTTCCAGTGAAGTCAAAATGTGTGCTGTGAGAGAGGTCACTGCCAACAGGTTTAACACTTATTTGATCAAATACTGCCCCCTGGTGATCACAGTAGTATGCAAACCTAAAAAGGGTGTGTCAGGTGGAAAAAGGAATTTTTTTTTCTTTTTTTATTTAACCTTTATTTAACCAGATAAAAAACATTGAGATAAAATCTCATTTTCAATGCTGACCTGGCCAAGAAGGCAGCAACGTTACACATAACACATAACACAAACATATAAAATACAGAGAACATAACTAAGAAAACAAAAGACGAAAAAGCAGTCACTACATTGTGCACATTAGGACAGTAAGAAAAGTACACTACTTGTTACTGCAAGAGCAGCTGGTGGTAAGGACTTAAGACAACTTCAATTCAAAACATGATATAGAGACAAGTGCCATCAGTTTTAGGCGTGATTGAAGGTCATTCCAAGACCAAGGACCATAATAAAAAAGACTCCTTTTTCCAGCCTCAGTCCGTACAGTAGGTACCTGGAACCGTATCCAGGCACTGGGTCTGAGGTTGTAAGAGTCGCAAACTGGGGCAAATCTGATACATATGTAGAGTGGAAGCTTACCTAAAATGGCTTTATACATTCATAAAAACCAGTGCTGCATCCTACGCATAGTAAGTGAGGACCATCCAGTTAGGCTATACAGTGTGCAATGATGAGTCCTATAGGGTGCATTTGATATATAACGCAGTGCAGCATGGTAAAGTGGGTCAAGTTTGGCCAAAACAGTGGGACAGGCAAATCTATAAATGGTATCACCGTAGTCCAGCTGGGACAGGAATAAGCCAGAGACCAACCTTTTACGGGATGAAATTGAAAAACAACATTTAAGTCTGTAAAGGAAGCCAAGAGTGAATTTCAATTTCTTTGTTAAAACTTCAATATGGTGTTTAAAGTTCAGATTACTGTCCAACCAAAAGCCCAGATATTTGTAGGTATCAACAAACTCAACAGAGACGCCATCAAGGTTCAAGGTTCAAGGTTCAAGGTTCTTTATTGTCAATCTGACATAGCTACAGAGTAATTATGCAGTTGAAAATCTAGGGTGTCCTAAGGAATAACCTGTCCTGCATTAAATATCAGGTCCAGACTTATGATACAGGTGTTTTCTGTAGCATTGGTTAAATATATATTAGTTGAGCCTCTAAAACCCCAAAGTACAGAACTATTGACAAATTGAAAATTATGTGAAAGAAAAAATCAGAGATACTCAGTTCATATAAGTTATCGTAGGGGGGATTGTAAATGTTGTTTAGTATTGTAGTATCATTTCACACTTAAATTGTATATCCAGTTTGTTTCTATAAAACTCCTAATATATGATTTAAATTCAATGGGTCTAACTGTGATATAAAAGGAACACGGCTGGTCCTCGGCCACCTTCGGCCCCTTGTGAGACCATCGATGGACCCGCTGCGCCTACCAGCCTGACATCGGGCTGGATGACGCCGTCATCTACCTGCTGCAGAGAGAGGTCCCTCTCCCACCTGGAGAAGGCTGGGGACATCGTGAGGATCATGTTCTGGGATTTCTCCAGTGCCTTCAACACCATCCAGCTGCAGCACTCTGGGGGGGATCACCACCTCACCTCCTGGATCCTGGACTACCTCACCAACCGTCCACAGTACGAGAGGGCCAGGGGCTGCCATTCAGACACCATCATAAGCAATACTGGGACCCCCCAGGGGACGACAGGGAGTACAGGGAACTGACGCAGGACTTCACCCTCTGGTGCCAGAGGAACCACCTCCAGCTCAACGCAGGGAAGACCAAGGAGCTGGTGGACTTCAGACGGCGCCAACACAGAAGACACCATACACAAGTCAAAGTGCTCTGCAGATGCCTTTTCACAGAAGTCATGCTGAGTTGTTACAGGGTTAAACTAAGGTGTGAATATAACAGAGACATCCTTAGTGTATTACATAGTGTTATAATACCTGTGTTTTCAAACTGTGTCAAGTGAAAATGTGTGCTGTGAGAAAGGCCTCAAGTCAACAGCTTTAACATCTGATATAATCAAATACTGACCCCTGGTGTTCATAGCAAAGAATGCATTTCCCCTGAATGCAACAAAGGCCAACACAGAGATGGTCACTCAACACATATTGACTCTAAAACACCATGCTTCTACATCAAGCATTGTTGTTATAATCATTTGTTCTCTGCCATAGTGTTACACATTTGTCCTAAGACCTAATCCAAACAAATGGTTCTACAGGGCCATTCAACCTGTCAAGTCAGAGTCATATTTGTCCTACGTTCAATGTTGTTGAACAAAACAGTTCTTGTTTGTATGACCTCTTTGTGTATAGGTTTGTATCTACACCAATAGATGTTGGCCTTTTCCTGAGAAGTGAAACCGTCACATTATTTCTGTGAAAGGGAAACCTAAAAGGGTGTGTCAGGTAGATACAGGAATAACATGCCTAACATGTCATTACATTGTCAATCATAACACACTCCTGCAGATACAGACGCCATGGGGGAGTGACAGTAAGGGCATTTAAATGGTTAAGTTACTGTAATAGAACTGACAACATCTTATGAAGTGAAATAAAGAAGGTTTTTTATTTATTTCCATGTCTACTTCTCACATATTGTGTAACATCCTTTATTTTCACCTGGTGTTATTTATTAAGACACAAATGAAAAGTTCTGACTTTTAAACAATTTGCTGTCTGTCACTGTATCACAAATGTGTTCAACTGTCGGCCTATCAGAATAAATCAGCAGAACAAAATAACTTCATTCAAGGCCTCTATTATTTCAGTCTTATGTTTGTACTTCAACAACAGCTACATCTACATATTTTGTACTGGTTTGTCTTTTATGAGTTGTGTTTTGTTTCTCTGAATACCTTCACTAATGGATGTCGGTTTGTTCCTGTGAAATGGATCTGTCAAATACTATTTCATTGAAAGGGAAACTTAAGAGAGGCCTGACGTAGAAGAGATACTAAGGAATGAAGACAAACAAAACAAATGACTTATAGATAACCTTCATTACTGACACAGTTGAAGTGAACACGGGGCCAGGGCACAGGAGGGAATATAAAACATTTTTTGTGAGGCACATTTCATTTTCCTTCATTCATCATCGCTGCAGCAGCTCAACTTTCAGGTCAGTTTAGACATGTTTACGCACTATAATAACAATTTTACCTTAAAATTACAAAAAATACAATTTTAGAATATTTTATATTTCCCATTGACCATTTATTATTTTTAGTGACAGCAGCGATGGAAGCAGCAGTTTTGTCCAGAAGCAGAGCGGGGGGGCTGTTCTTCCTCTTCACTCTGCTGGGTCTGGTTTGCATCACGACTTCACTGATGGATGACAACACACTGGTAAATAACTATTTCACATTTTATTTGAGTTGTTCTTAAGAAGGATCTTAATTTATTTGAATCTGCAGTCTTTTGCGCTAATGTGTGGCTATATTACAGCTGCTGTCAAGCTAATACAATCTGTTTCTGTATGTAACTGCATGTTGATGCTTATTCTAATGATGGATTTCAAGGAGAAGTGCAAGAGAGAGGTACAGGAACTGGAACAAAAACGGGAGAAAAGGAAGGTGAGTCAGTTTCTATGTTGCTCACATACATTCTTCATACTCTGACAGGAGGAGAGAAAGTGATTTAATGCACTACAGTGGAAACAACATAGCTAATAGAGTCAGTGCCACGTCATGAAATGTGTGTTTTCTTTCCCATATTAGGCACTACTGGACACCATTTCAGAGCGTAAGAATACAAATATGCCCAGCTTGCTTCTGAAAGGATTGTTTGACGTATTTCTGACGATCGTTGATGTCTTCATGTCAAAAATGGACGTCGCACAAATTGCAACTTGGGCATTAGATCCAGAAATTCAGAAAATTGAACAGGATCTGAGAGAAATGAAGGAATTAGTCAAAGCCCTGGAGGAGCACCAAACTGAGCTGTAACGTAATGTCAATCAGTGCCTCCATCCGATACTTCATGTATTGTGTTGGCTAAGTTTCTCTTTGAGATTATGCAGCTTTGCACTTCAGCTTCAGCACTTTGGCTCGACCAAAAATCGTTTATAAATGTGCTATATAAATAAAACTTGATTTGATTTGATTTTGACTTATCTTAGGTTATTCACTGGCCTTGAAATCATGAATGTATTTCAACTGTTAGATTTCAAACGGAAAAGGAATTTGTGTTGACATACTGTACATGCAACTGTAAATGAATACATTTACTGTTCAAATGTGCTATATTCAATGTTGTTGCACATAATAATAAACTTTTTCTTTAGATTAATGGTATAATATTTAATATTACTGACCCCTGATGTTCACAGAAATTACACGAGAAAACCAAAAGGATGTGTAAGATATGTATAAAATTGCATGCAATCACATTCAAATAAAAATTTAAAAAACAGACGTATTCACAGCTTCACTCTCAACCTTCATTCTCAATTTCAGTGCAGCTGTCTGAAGAGCTTTTGTGGGGATTGGCAGAGCGTTTAAAACTAAATTAGTACGGTATTTGTGAGGGAGACACGCAAGATGACACATCATTAACTTACTTACATTTCATGGTGGATAACCCAACTATGTTTCCTCTAGTCTGTATTTCTGACCCATGATGATTATTTTTCCAGGTTAAAATGGTGTCATGTAAACATTGGATTTTAAAATATATAGGAAGTTAACAACTGGAATCATTTCAACATATGAAAAGGTGTGCAATGTGATGCTTAGCAAACTCTTAAAATATCAGGTCCAGACTGATGATGCAGATGTTTTCTGTAGCATTGGTTAAATATATTTGTTTAACCTCAGGACTCCAATCACTCTGAATAAACGAACACGACAGTTGCCATAGTCGGTGCTAATATTTCGTAATGTTAATGATTTGGTCTTCTTTATCTGTTTATTCAAA